GGCAGAGAACCCTCTCTGTTGACGGGTCGCGATATTATGCAACACGATTCGGGGGTAAGCGGCGTCTTGCTGCCGACGTAGAACCTGATCAACGCCGGTACAGACGGGAATTGCTCCTTCGCAATTCTGTACACCGTCTTCTCGTAGACTGATTTCGGTTCCAGCACAATACGATTGATTGCGCAGTGCATTGGACTGCCCTGCCAATTACACGTGATGACGTAATCACCGAGCCTTGAAACGCTGTCGCGAACCTGAAATTTATAGCTGAACCAGGGCATAATTACAAGATAGAAAGATGATCCAAGTTATCTAAAAATTTCAAATTTTCCCACAATAATTACCTGCGGCATGCATGACCAAAATGGACATTATGAAAGAAAGGTTAACAGCGAACTTCAAATAAGTGACATTTCAAATAAATTTTCAGCGATTCATGGTTCAGGGCACCAAACACAACAGATGGTACAACAGTTCATTGCCAACGCGCTTCGCTACGTACACCGTAGCGTCATCAGGACGAGGCAAAGTACAAATGAATGCTAGAAAGAACTTATATCCAACAAACGAACAATACTTTACAACCAAAACGTTATTAAATTGACTGGCCAGGATGTTAACCAAAAAGCGGTGTGAAATTCTCATTAAAAGAATCACATCGTTGTTCTATAAACATGATATATCGAATTAATTCTGCAATCGTCATCAGCCTTCGCTAATAACCACAAAAGATGAGTATTTGTTGCACATCCGATTTTTCATTGCCAGTATATGCAAGGGCTCCTATATCAGCAGTCCTAATTTAGATTGTTCTTGTCTATGACAAATACATTAGTCTGACTGATAGAATGCCCTTCAGTATTGGGCCATACCGGAATAGTCAGCCTGTCCAAGGCAGACCGCAGAAAGATTTTCTTCTATCCAGATGTATAATTTCTCGTTGGTCTTTCCAATGTACACTTTGTGTACACTTTGTAATCACTGTAATGAGCTTTGTATACATCTAACACATGTTCAGGGATATTAACGGGAATGCACTTTTTAAAGAAAATGTTGCCAAATGTTCTACCAGTCCTGTAGTAGACCCTAAACCTAGTGTCATTAAGGTACCTCGTGTCATTAAGGTACCTCGTGATATGTTGAGATATCTGGGGTATGAACGGCAAAATTACCATCGGTTTACATGAACTGGCCATCTTTAATTTTGAGCTGAGGTACACAAGTTCTTCATCAAGAATCCTCCTTCAGCAACCATTCGCTAGGAACACTTGGTGAAGATATTGAATTTCTGCATGTAGGCCGGAGTGCTAATGCGAGTCTGTTGGCCTTGCTAACGCCTGCTCTTCACCACATTCCTAAGTAATCCAGGAGGGATACATGAAGCCGGATGTAGGTATCGACTGTAGTGCGTTGGTTTTCGATATAGGAAACATCAAACGACCGCGTCCTCTTCATCAGCACGTCCAGAAAGGATATAAAGTAGTTAACTTTCCGTTCATAACAGAAAAACGTGATCAACGAATCGGACATGGATCAGAGGTCAAAAATCTGGCAGGAATTTATTAAGGGCTTTCACCTCCAGATACTCCATATAAAGATCAGCCAAAACAATGTTAATCGGAACGCCTACGTTTGTTGGTAGGTATTGTTCGCGAATTTGAAACGGGTACCACCCATCACAAAGCCAAACGGTGCAATTTTTAAACACGCCTTCAGATGCCCTACACTCGTGTTCTTCAAGATGTCGGGCAAAATATTAGCCAGCATGTTATTTTAACTTTATTGAAAACGGTAGCGACGTCTACGAAGCCATGCAGCAGTCTTAATGATCATATTCCTTCAGTTTGCACAGAAACGCCTTTCTGTCTTTTACTCTATAAATCATTCCCTCAGCAGCAGGTTTCAATAACAGATCCAGCTCTATGGCAATGTGGTATGTTACTGTTGCCTTAGCTGGGTTCTCGATTCAGCACTGCAAATCTGACTAGATCCATTTCTGACATTGAGGTAGGTACAAAGAAAGGTTTCCTTCATTCCAGTGAAAGACCGAGAAGTCTTGAGCAATAAGTCATTTCTAGCGCAGGACTTATTGTCCGCAATAAAATCTATAAATCTCGTCCTAACGTCGCTGCCTGACATATTTTGGCCATCAAAGCATTGAAGAAAAGTTAAAGAATAACAGCATAATAGTCCTCTGGCCTGACAAAGGTGCGAAAACGAGTGATGCCTATTGATAAATATTATATGAGAATGTTGGATCACTTAAGGAATAGTGTTGTATACACCAAACTCATAAGTAACGCCAACCCTGGCAAAACAATGTGCCAGGAGCAGCTGGAAGTGTGAAGGAATTTGCAAAATAAAGATCGTCACCCAATAAGGTGCACAGAGAATCCTGCTCAGTACTGACTTTTGTGTAACCTCCAGACTTTGGAATTAGTAAACCTCCATACGAAAGGCAACCAGTTGCGTATTACCATATCGGTTATTGGAACAGTTGGAAACAGTGGTGAGGTCTCCCTAAAACTTAGTCGACTGCTCCTCATCGTATTGCCGTCATCGAACTCAAAACCGGCTCAGTCGTCGCCCGGGCTACTAAGGGCCGCGCAGGCTGTTAAGAGACTGCGGCAGGCTGCAAAAAGTCGGCGATCAGAAACTGCTCAAGCTGATCAGATGCTGCCTTTTAGCAGCCGAGTGCGTAGCAGCACTACAACGGCTGCTCAAGATCGACCAAAGGACGACGAAGATACCAGTCAGCAACGGAGTCGCTACCCGTGCTGAACGGAGGAGTCCAACAGCACGATGCCATTATAGCACGTCAGAAAAGGCTCCATGAGAACGACACCACCAGTGGGAGCTTAAAGTCGGAAATTGGAACATAT